TCCGTCCCCGGGGCCCGGCAGCCGCTCGGGGGTCGCGCCCGCACGCGCCTCGTGGCAGAGTTCGCAACCGGCTGCAATGTCCCCCAGTCCCTCACCTTTCCTATCACCACAAACTGGGATTCGCATCCGCGGTTGGGGCCAGAGGAGCAAGGGGCAGCACAACTGTCAGCCAAGTGAAGCATCCCGCCGTGCGTGTTTGCATCTCTCCGTTACCTACCGCGGTACTGCACTGCAGGTAGAAATTGGACCGTTATGACTTGGGTAAAAAAAAATGGCTTTCCAACTAGCATGCAAAGAAAAAAATACCCCAAACCCCACCCCTAACACTCATTCCCAGTCGCTTAGATGTAGGAGTCCTACATTTAACATTGTCATCAGCTACGAGCTCTAGTCAAGAAATCCATCTGTGCCCTTTCCAAAGAAAAAGGGAGTTTTGCATTTTTTGGGGCCAACAGCCACTGCCAAACTGTTTCGGTTCAGCTCACCAAATCCGCTCGCGCCCCCTACTACATACAAAGACGGAAGTGAAGGAGCACCTCTGCCTGCTTCAGAAACACAGAGGAAGAGCCCCAGAGAGGCCCTGAATGCAGCACTTGAGAAGCGCTGGTGATCTCTCCGTCTCTCCGTTTCACGAAGCGGCGTTGTTCCCAGCCCCCGTCGCGCTTTAGCCAGCACTACGTCAAGCGGCGCTCTGGCCAGCGGCTGGGCGACAAGGCCGGGGAAGTGCATACCCCGCTGCAGGCAGCAGATCGGCTGCCGCTGGGGGGCCACCCGGTCCCCCCAGGAGGCCTCTCTGCAAAGGCTGGTTCAGGCCCCCGCAGCCCGTTGGTGGCAACAACAAAATCAAAACAATGAGGTACGGAAAGAAGGGCCCAGCATTGGGGAAGAGACCAAGAAAGAAGAAAACAGCTCGAGCACTGCCAGAAATAGCGAACAACTGAAACCTTTTTCTCCTCCCTCTTTTCTTTTTTCTTTCTTTTTTTTTTTTTTTTTTTCCAAGGTGAATTAAATATGTCCTTTTTGTCGGTCGGTCGGTCGGTTTTGGCAAAGCGAAGCCCTCGGCCGCAGTCTCTTTCCTGGCTGTGCTAGTGAGTTACCGCCACAAGTGCTGCGCGGCAATAAAAGCCACCGAAAGGAGGATGAGGAAGGCAGAAGGCAATGATCTGCTGCTGGCCCCACTGACGCCGTGTCCCGACTGCTTGGGAATAGCGTGCGTTTCTGGCTGCCTGGTGCTGGGGCTCTTAGCGAGTCTTTTGCCGCAGACATCGTCAGGACAGCCGTCGCCGCTCCCGGAGCCGCTCATGTCGTCACCTGCGCAGAGACAGACCGTGGGTGAGCTGGGCCGGCTTTCCTCAAGGCAGCGCGGTGGCCTGGCCTTCGTCTGGCTCAACAGGGCCAACGCGGAGGAGAAACACCTGCAAAGACCCTTGCGCTGCTGTGGGCAGCCCCCAGCCCTCCCTGCACGACAATCCCTCTGCTGTGGGTCAGCCGCTACGGTCATGGCCCTGTGGGGCCCCAGCAGACTGCCAGGATCGCAGGCTCGGTCCCCCCTTGCCTGCCGGTGACACCCCCCCGGCCCCTGGGACTTCTGCTAAACTCACTCGCATCTTGGAAATCCACGTCGTTCCCAATGTTGGCGTTGCCCAGCCGGTTTGTCATGATCTTCAGCTGCATGATTTGCTGGCGAATGGTCATATCCGGCTTGGTGATGTCCACCTCCACCTCCGGGTTGTTAATCTGGTTAGCTAGGCCGTCCCCCATCACCTCGGGCAGGTAGCTACAAAGGAAAGCAACAGGTTTCGGTACCTCTCCCAAACTAAGCTCACCTCTGTCTATTACAGGGGCCAGCAAAAACCCAACGATTTTGAACCACAGAGAAGCTGCAGGTCAACGGCCTCGGCTTGTCAAACAACCTTCGTATGTAAGCGGGCTGTGTGCGTCCCTCAGCGCCCAGGGGCAGGATGAGGCCCCCAGCACCTCTGCTGGGCTCCCAAACGCCCCAGGAGAGCAGAGGAGGAGGCTGAGTGCCGGTGACTGCCGTGGGCAGGGAGCCGAGCTCCCCGGCTGCCCATATAAAAGGGACCCCATAAGGCTGCGGGGAGCAACGCTGGCACCGTGGTGGTACAGGCAGGCTCTCGCGTTTGCCGTCAGGGACCGGCAGGCCCAAGACAGGGAATGGAGCAAGGTGGGTTTCTGACCGCGGCAGCTCGCCCCTCGCAGCCACCCTTTAACCATCAGCACTGGTGGGAGCTGTTTCTGCAATCCTTGGACTTCACCTGACTTCACCTCTCATGAAGGAAAAGCATTTCAAAGCAAGCATGGTTAGAAAGAAATGCATGCAATTCTCAGCGGCAGCTCTGGAGTTTGCAGAGGTAAATCCATCCCTTCTGCCAGTGGGTCTGAATGCACGTGGTACTGCAAAATTAACGAATTAGTACAAAAATGACACAGTCATTCCATGGCAAATGCACTTTGATGCCTAAAACCCCAGCACACAGCAAAACAGCAACAGACTTGAAACTCCCAGGTAGCAGTTTTTCAAGAAATGGGGCATTGCCCTGGACAGGGAGAGACCTTTCAGCTCAGTCCCATGGGGATGGAGGGGGCTAAGGTTGAGGTGACGTGTAACTGCCTTTTACCAACCCCACAACGGTGTTGTCTAGACCCCTTCCGCGTACCTGCCCTTGGTCATCCCATTCCAGCACTTGTCGTCCGCTGCTGAGCCGGCCGTGACCTTCTTGCTGCACAGCACGCTGGGCAGGGTGACCCAGTAAGACTTGAGGGCTGTCAGGTTCCCTTTCGCATCTAAAACCTGTGAGGAAAGAGGATACTTAGGGCCCAGAGTGCTGTGGAAAGGACAAGTATTCAGGCTTTTTTTGGTTATAACATCACACAGCTTGTTTTTATGCAGATCGAGAAGTGTCACCAACTTCTCCCTAAGTACCAGCCCTCAACTCAAGCACCCAAAGCTGAAGGACATTTCCGGTACCCAGGAGAAGAAGCCTTCTGGGCCGTGAGGGGAATGGTGAGAAGCAGCCTTCGCAGGAGGCAGCAGGACTCTGCCAGGTGGTGCGGGCAGATATCCGTGACTGAGGAGCCAGCAGCAGAAGAGACACAGGGATCGCGGGGATCGCAGAACCCACTGCCCACAGAATCCAAATGGTCCATAAAGGACTGGTCCTAAGAGAGCAGCAAAGCCACAGGAACTTAATTCCCTGGTTGACCAGTGTCGTCATAGCCCATAGGCTCCAGAGATCACGTCTGTCCATAGGACCCAGCACTGCCCTTGGTGGGCACGCGCGCTCCCAGCAGCCGCGGAGCTGTGCTAGTGAGGGAGTCCCTCTACGCTACTGCCTCCCGCCTCCCTGCAGAGCGGCTCGACAGGGCCCCCGGCACACACGGCCCATGACGCCAGTGGGGACAAACTCACCAGCATCTCCAGTGCTACTGCAGAGGATTTTGCTTCTAATGTGACTTTCCCTCGCCTTCTCTTATCTTCGCCACTGGAGCCTCTCGTGCTGATTTTGGGATTTCCACAGCCTTGGAAAACCTGAAAAACAAACCAAACTCTGTCCTGTAGTTTGATACTCTTTCCTTAATTAATTGTCACTCCCTGGCTATGTTTTTTTTTTTCCTTAGGTATTTTTATATTTCCTGCTTACAAGATCTCTGAGACTTGGGCTTAGTTTTTGGTCAGATAACTCTTGTGCCAAGACTTGTTTTTCCTGCCGACTAGAACTACTTTTGGCTCCCGCTATCAGGCAAAACGTTCAGCACAAACACAGAATTAGTACATGTTTTTGGATGATTCACTAATGTTGGCATTAAATTACCTTTAACAAGTTTATCTGTTCCTATTATGATTCAAAACAAATTCTGGGAGATCTCAGAAGAACAAGATGGGAGTTGGTCACATCCATTATGCCAGAGGTGTGGGCTTCAAAGTTACAGAGCACGTGAGGTTCTCTGGTTTGGACAACAGACTGGGATGGGACTTCTTCAATGACTTTTGCACCGTTCCTCAAATTAACACCGCCTTGGACCAGGAGAGTACAGCAGAATAGACGCGTCGAGATCTGTCAGGTTGGACGTTTCAAGGCAGAATGAGGAAGCAGAACTGATTTACCTCTTAACTTCGGATACCTCCTCTCATCCCAGCTATCTGCCCAGACTCCCTTCAGCCAAAGGAGAGCAGAAGTACCTCCAAGGCACAGCGTCTCTGGTCTCTCCTTCAGGATGAAATGAAGGGCTCCCTGGAAGTGCCTGGGTCCTTCCATGTCCAGTTCAGACAGCGACACCTCCCCTGCAGACACCTAGTGCTCAGGCAGCTGAGTCTCACTGCGGCTACAGTAACCAGCGTGCTCAGAGAGCTGAATTTAAGACAACGTCAAAGCTCGGGGGGCTTTTTACATTGTCCGTTTGATTCAGGAAACAGCAGCCCTTACAAAGAACGCCCTCTGATTCGAAAAGGTGGCTCCAAGTTTGGTCCAATTACCTGTGTGCTGTCAGATGCTGTTGATAAATTCGACAGAATCCCTTTAAATGCAGAGAACTCAAGAACTCAGATGCCAGCTAGTATCGGTAACACAGCTCGTGCCAGCTGCTCAACGCTTTTGCTAGCGGATCCTGAAAGCCATCGGCAAAGTCCTAATCTTAGCAAGAGTCCCGAAGGTGACAGTGAGCCTCACTGCTGTGTCCAAGGGGCATTCAGCCTAGAAACCCCTCCTGGGGCGCAGTGTCCTGCTGACCAGATGAGTCCAACAGACTAGGGCACTTCCGCACCAAGCTGATTAGTTCATCCGTCTCCTTTGCTCAGTGCAAAAAACCCACTTGTGAAAACCGAAGGAATTAATCCTTAAGGACTCTTAAGGACTCATAAGGAGTGAATCCTTTTTCCAAAACCTACCTCTGAGACTGAGCGATGCCTGGGGCCTGATCCCTGCGCTCCCTTCCATCACGGCATGTGCCGGTGCAATGGTGAGAAGGGGCAGGGAGACAAGGCACCCCCTGCGCGCCCTTCCCAGGGACAGCTTTAGGCCGGCAATTTTAGAAGCCCACAGCTGCAGCCTGAGCCTGCTGCTCTCACCGTTAGAGATAAAACTGCCCGGATCGGCCTGAGACGGTCCTGAGCTCATCTGGCAACGATATCCTTAGCCTGTTCACCCTGCAGTGCTCAACACCAGAGCCACAAGGAGCTCGCTGAGCCCTGCAGGGGGGAACCTCTCAGAAAGCGCTTAGTCAGCACTAAGCCAAAGCTGGGCATTAGCAGGTTTCTCAACAGCAGAGCAGTGAAGACCTGCCAGACCCTGACAGGTGGATCCATGGAGAGGAAGAACCCCAAACAAACTACTTTTCAGACGGAATTCAGTGTCTTTATGAAAGGCATCCCTGGCCTGCATCCATTTAGAGGAAGAGGATGGCATGTGGCACAGTTAAGATGCAGATGCAAATCTCTGGACAGATCCTTTAAAGCAGATTAGCTACAAAGAGCTCCTAAGCCTTGCTCTGCAGGCTGCACTAACGCTGGTTCTCCTTAGTTGTCCGTGCTTACAGCTGCAGCAAGTTGCCAGCTCCCAAACTCTGCTCCCAGTGCCGACACCAAACACGCTGCTGTGTTCACCTGGTTGCAAGATCATATTGAGAATATTGTATTATCAAATACCTTTGGTTGCTCCAATCAAGCACCGATGAGACCAGGCTAGTCACACCCTTTTGCTTTTACTGCATTTACTATAGGGCCCTCAGGAACACCCTTCTCTGCAGAAGAAGAGAAGGGTGTCATTTTCCCACTCCATGGGCTTGCTTTTATGTGGGCAACTTCAGACTCACCTAACAATGGGAGAAAGAATATCGCCTTTAATGTTGGAAAAGAAATCTGAACAAGTACTTGGATGCAGGTGCCTACCTGTGCTGTGACGAGTGCTAGTGAAGCCCTGCTTGGCAAAGCAGCGCTTCTGCTCCTTCCCCTCTCTGAGACCCAGTCAGTGCCTGCCCCACACCCTTCACCTGCGTCCCGGTTCCAACTGCTGGATAGCTGTGAGGACTTGGAGAACGCCTGGGCAAAAAGCAGAAGCCCTGGTGGGGCTGCTTTTTGGCCAAAGCTTTTCTCACCTGCATCCAGAGAGGTGACTGTGGTTAATGGAAAAACACTAAAAATAGAGACCAACAGAAGAGATCTTCTGCAGTAAGCTCCTTGAAAGACAGGTGAGCATCAGGAGAGCTTGTTTCACAGTCTCCAGATTGACTGCCAGACTGCAGCCCAGTCCCACAAATACAACCTGACAGCCCGGTGTTTCCATTGCAGAACATCCTCCCTGGCAGGTTAAAGCAGCTGCCATCTGTCTCTAGTGTAAGAAGGGCTGTGCACGTTCTGCAAAGGCCTCAGCTTTGTGAAAATACTTCAAAGCTCTTTAGATGCAGACACAGAGGCACCTCACAGCAAACGGCACCATGCTTCCCACAGGCATCGCAAATTCAGTACCACTCTCGCATGCCTGTACCTAAGGAAGCTGGCTGGAGGTGGCTGAGAGTAACATTTGAAAACACCTGAGAAGGTTTTTCTCTACATAGGACAGGTGGTTTCTCATCATTAAAAGAGTGAGCAGTTAATCTCTCTCTTTCTTCTTTCATCTCCCTTAATCCAGCTGAATGGTGAGCACAAAAAACGTTGGCCCCAGCAATTACACATGGTGTACCGTCAGTCAGGCCCAGGCATGCACTCTTACCTTGGCTGTGATTGAGTCTTTGTTTTCTTGTAAGTTAGAAATAGCTTCAGAAATCCTCACGTGAATAGTTCCTATTACAGTGTCTACATTGTACGGTCCATCAATCCGATCAGCCACTACGACCAGAGAATCTAGCAAAATGAAGACAGAGACACCCTTTCATCAGACTCTGTACAAACCGAGTTAGAGCATACCCTCACGCTGGGCAGGGTAAACTTTGGCCCCTTTGCATGCTGGCTTTTGAAAGACCTCTCCATTTTCACCTCTTCCCAAACGCATGCTCATTGTTCTTCGGAACTGGACAGTGTTCAAAATTCACTACTTCCTCGGACAGTGGCAAAGCCAGCTGCAGCGGCAGAGGAACAGAAGTCACCTCCTGCAAATGCTAAGTGCAACCTGTATTCGCACCAAGGGGCCAGAAGCTGCTGGGGTGCTACAGAAAGGAAAAATGGTGCAGAAGTATCAAGCAGTGCCTAACAATACTTGGAGCTAACCCTCCCACCTCATTGCCTGTCTCAGCAAAGCACTGCAGCCACTGAACGCGGGAGGACTGGTGTCAGTAAAGCACCAAAGGAAGGTGGACGTGGGAACAGCTTCTGTGGGAGCCACACAGCGAGAAAAAAGTATTTCACATCACCACCTCTGGAAAGACAATGCCAGACCCACCAAGGAAATGTCATGCAATAAACGCAAAGGAGCAGACCAAAACGCCCGCTGCTAAAGCGGTAAGAGAATACAGCGAGTGACTGAAAGGCGCCTGCTGCCTCCCTCATCTCAGAAAGCTCTGTTGGTCTCAGGACTGACTCTGGGCAGTGCTCCTGCCTGTTCTGGAAACTCCTGCCTCGCTGGAGTGGTGCTTGGCTTGCAAGAAGTAACCAACCTCTGCCTACGCCAGATGCTTTTCAGCACTCCACCTCGGTTTGAAGCGAGGACAAGCTAATTGCCCACATGGCTCAGGGCACGGGGAAATGCCACTGCATAGGAAAGCTGACATCCTCAGTGTCCCACAAAGACTGAAATAGGATCTCAGGGCAGAGCCACAACTGTCTTAGGCATCTAAAATGGGATTTTTACAGAGTTTGAGTTTGTAAATTGAAAATTATAGTTTTGAAAGCCACTGCTGAGCTGCTGCCTATCCCTCAGGAGCCCTGGACTCAGTTTTCAACCACTTCTGCTTTTAGGGCTCAGCAGCTTAGAGGGCAGAGCACACATAAACTGCATCATGATTTAGGGATTTGGCATTCAGTTACTTGTGACCTCAGATGCTCCAGTGTGGTCACTGTCCCCCATGGCACACCAAAGACCTGGGAGGACTAGGGATCTGGCAGAGCGCAGTGGCGGCCAGCCTTCGTCTGGAACAGAAAGCGTTTCACCTTCCTGTGGCCTGCCCATATGGAAGGAAACAACTGTGATGGCTTCCCGTTGATTTTTCTTCTCTATGTAAAGAGGGTCAAATCCCTAGGTCTAGGTTGAAGAACTGTCCCATTAGCAAATTGAGTGATTCATTAGCAGTGATTAATTCTTTTATCCTAATTCCTGATACTTTGCCCATCAGCCTGGCAGGAGACTGTCAGAGCAGATGGTGTGATGCTGTAGGAAAGCTTATTCAGCATGAGCTTGCACAGTCAACGTTATTCATGAATAATGAAACCACCAGGTGAATTATTCCAGGCACTTAGCTGAGTAACAGTAAAACATCTCCTGCATCCTCCCCCACCCCACAGTGCGTAGGAGCCACCTGTGATACTGCTTTAAAGGACTGATGCTACCTGTGGGGTGCACAGCTCATTTCCTGTGAGCAGGAGTCCAGCCAGACAGGGTGTAAAGAAAGCCCACCACCATTTCAAACTTGCGAGGAACTCGATTCAATTCCTTGCTTGGGTAAACCAGCAGGACTTGGCAGAAGGCCCCCAAAGGACTTCCATGAGGCCTAGGTGAGGTTTGTGCAGAAACACTAGGTTCTCAGTGGTGGTATGTTACTAACGAAGGCCGGATCCTAAGCCCGCTGCTGTCAGTTTAACAGCATACGCAACCCTTACAAGTACGTAACCCAGTGCCCTTGGGTTCTTACAGCATCTCACAGCCCCAGAGACATCCCCAAGGGCTTCCACATTGCCCTGGGGCATCAAGACCAGAGCCAGTGACAGAGAGGGCACTTGCTTTGCAGATGCGCTGGACTGCCCAGAGCCCCTGCCCAGGTGACACAGTGGCTCCATCCTACAGCTCGCAGTCCCAGGCATGAAGGGAGGTTCCCCTGCCACAGCTGTGCCATATGCAAACAGGACGTCCATTTTTGCTCTACCCTAACTGGACAGGAAATGGTTTTGGTCAGCAGAATGCTGCTGGGAGTAGAAAATTACCACCCTTGATGGCATTAAGGAATGTTATTACTCCTGGATAAGAGGAAGGGGAAATGACTTAGAGAGTCCTCGAGCTCAGGTGACCTGGAAGCCTTGCTAGTGCCTGGTCAGAAGCACAAAGGCCAGGCAGCGGGCTGTGAGGCAAGGGAAAAGGCAACCCCAAAGCTCGTCTGCCCTGCTGACTGCCTCCGTGAGCCTAGACAAACATCAAGGCCTCAGACCACTCCAGGTCTAAGCATATAGCCTTGGAGAGAAGCAGCAGCTTTCTGGGTGATGTTCTGTGTGCAAAAGGAGGAGTGCGACCTCCACCAGCTAGAAGAACAGTCAGATGCAAATAATCTCCTTGAGGGACTGCAGCAGGGGAGAGTATATGTGCTGCTATGCAAACGTACCATTTTCTAAAAGCAGACCCAAACCGACCTTACACCACGCCCATCAGTTCTGCAAGCCCCTCTCAGAAGTAGAGACAGCAAGGGCCTCCCCTGACTCCACAGAGTCCTGCGCTTTCAGCACCATGTAATACACACGTTTGCTCTTTCCTGTTTCACACTTCTGCCCGCCCCACCAGGACTTTAGTTCACCCTTAAACCAGGAGCCACTTGCCACAGGCCTTAGGAAAGCAGCTAAATGATACCGGAGGTCTTCTTAAAAGAGATGTCCTGGTTGGATCGGGCAATGCCAAACTTCCCGTGGAAATGCCTGTGTTGAAGTTCCCTGGCTTGTGTTGCAGAGGAGATCAGATCACACCATCACAGTGATATTTCTGACTTTAAAATCAAGAAAACGGACACATCTGTACTCAAACAACCCACTCTAAGAGACCCGTTATCTCAGTCAGGGGACAAAACAAACATGAAATGAGCTATTTTCTCACTTAAAGTACAAATCTGATTTTAACACTTCTCCCATAGCTTGTAACCTCTGCCTCCCCTCTGTATTTAGCAGGCCTCTTTCAGTTTAAAAGCATGCAGTTCTGATCCCTTTGCTCTTCACCCAGGAAAACACTTTATGGCTTCACATTTCTAGACGACCTCCCAAGAAGGACTGCCAAGTGCTTCTCAGGTTACCTCTGGTATGGATGACAAGGTAGCTCAGACAGCGTATAGATGACAGGAGCTGTCCCTAAGCCTCAGCACTTGGGAGGGAAAAAAGCTTAGTTGAACCTAATGTGAAGATAACCCCAAATGGGAAAAGATAAGATGACAAGTCTTCCGGCCCTCATCGGCCAGCCCAGCACTGCTCTTTGTAATGGTATTAAAGCCCAGTACAATGTCCTGCAACAGCTTCTAGACTAAAGCCACAGGCAGAGAAATTGTAGTGTAAAAGAGCCTCCTTCAGCTCTTCCAGTGGTCTCTTCTTTACTCTCCATGCACTACCTTGGGGAGTTCAAAAGGTGTCACTGGTGTGTAGCATGACCATCTTACCCATCAGGTACTTCCACTCCGTGTTCAAGTCCGCTTGGTTGGCCAGGCAGCCCTTCACAACGTTGAGGCAGTAGTTGTTGCATGGCTTCACGCTGGACATGCCCCGGCAGTGGGGACAGTACATCAGCTTCATGACGGCGCGAGTGCACTCGTGGCTGAGCGATACCTAGGGCAGACACAGGCAGAGTTAGCAACGCAGGCCGGCGACTGCAGATTCCCTGGGCAGGACTCGGGGCTGCGAGCGTGCTTTCAAGCTTTTGCATGGCCACGGGCAAGCCGTTTCCCCCTCTCAGTGCCTTCTCTTCCCTCCTGCCTTTCCCTAGGTGGTGCCTCTGACAGAGGGGTAGGACTTTTGGGGCAGGGCCCATTTCCTCTGCCTGCGTTTGCACTGAGGGGACTGGGAACAACTCAGATGTGAGCAGAGACTCCGGAGCAGGCCATTCCCCCGCCACCCCAGGTTGGCCTGGGCAGGAAGCCCTGAGGAGGTGGCACAAGAACAGACTGGTGTGCTCTGGCCAGCACTCAGCCCATCAGGGAGCCCCGACTCCGGCTTTGGGGGGGGGAGGGGGGGCTCCTGCCCCCTTCTCAGCTGCTTCGGGTTTCTACATGTCGCAGCAAACCTAACGGGAACAAGAGCGAGCACAAAACCAAGGTCTGCACCAAAGAGCCTGCTTAGTGTCATCACCATGGCTCAAGGACATGGGGCTCGGTAGCGTTCATGAGGACTTGGAGACCCACGAGCTCATCACAGCCCTGGGACTTGCCAGCCAAGTTCATATTAAAAAAAATGTGTTTCAAGGCAGAGCACTTCTGCAGCAATATCAAACTTCTGATAATATCTTGGAGGCTCATGGGGCAAGCAACAAGCTTCCTGTGCTGAGCTTAGCCCTATAGCCTTGTGCCAGCCACTTCTGCCAGCTGAACCTTTGTGTCCCTCCTGTGTGACTGCCCGGGCTGCCATTCAGTGACTCAGGCACATGCTGGGTTTATGCCCTGGAGCCTCTGCAATCAGCAGCCCCACTGAGCACTTTCTGCAGGAAGGGTTTGCTGTCACCACCTGGCAGGTGCAGGTACCTCTTACAAACCGCACCTGCAGCTTCCCAGCTGGAGGCACAACAGGAGGGTTGAACATGAGAAGTTCTTGGCTGCCATCTTTGGAAAGGAGGACAGTGTAGGGGAAAGACTTGAACAATTTGAAAAAATATGGGCAATTCACTCAATGCTGGCAAGTGATTGCTCGCTGAAAGCATTTCAGGAGCCCCAGGCAGCGGGCGAAGCAGGCCAACATACGCCACACCACAACGCCAGCGGCTCTTATGCACTGCACGTGTACCCAAAGCTGCACAGACGTGATTCTGGAAGCAGCTTTGCCACCCTTGGACTAAACTAACTGGTCCATTGGCACAGTGTTAGTGCCCGTGCAGAGCCCAGAGAGCCGAGTGCCAGCTGCCAGCCATGCTCATGGGATGCCGTCCTGCTCTGACTGCTGCAGGCAAGGGGGCTGTAGGCACAAGCTGTGGGGCGGACAACTGGGAAGGGTCAGCCACCAGGGACAGCCTGGTGTAGAGCTGGAGACAGACACGGCTGGGAATTTCCCAAATTCTTCCCTCCACCCCCCACAGAAAGCCAGTGGTGCAGGGAGGTTGCTCTAGGGCCTGGCACAGGCTCTGCAGAGTCCCTGATGGGACATGGCATTCCCATATCTTATTGCTACAGTCTCTTCCCCTTTGTGGTCTTTTGCTATCTTTGCTCAGATCCATTTGCAACTTCCTTGTCACGCTTTCAAAATAATTTACAAAAATAAACCTAAGAATTTGCATGCCAGTTTCCCTTGGTGCCAGGTTCTCGGCACTCACAAGAAGCCCAAAAAGGGAAGAAGTGATGAAGGGGCAAAACTCTACATAGAAAAATCCCTGAGTCCTGAGCTGCGGCTGCAACACTGAGAACATTCACCCCTGCCCCTGACCTCTTCATTAATTGTGAAAAACACTTTGAACAGGGTCCTTTAAGCTTCTGCTGGGAGACTCCAGAAAGAAAGACTCAGACCTCAGGTAGCTTTTGAGGCCCGAGAACACGCTAAGCTAATTGTCAGTGGTGAAGAGAGAAAACCCCTAACGTTTCCCCCTCCTTAAACTGTTCACACTGTAGCACCTCCCCTCTGGTTAGCCTGGGAAAAGAGCTCTTGCGTACTGCTGGGGTTTCATCTGGCAGGAATGTAGTAAAATAACCTTGTTAAAACCTTCTTCAGGTTCAGGACAAAAGTTTCTAGGGCCCGCAGAGAGCCTATGACCCTGAACAGAGACCGCTCCCCTGCCTCTGCAACCACCAGCATCCAAAACAAGATGCTTTTGGATAAAATGCAGCGCTCTGCAGCAGTCTAGAGGGCTCAGCCTTGCAGAAGAGAGCAAATACGTAAAGGCTTTGCTCTCCTTTCTCAAAGAGCTTTTCTCTCTCGTCCCTGGGACGATTCCTACGGACAGAACCAGCTGCAGAAAATCAGTGCAAGGTCACGAAATCCCCATTGCGAGGGCCTCAGGCAGCGTCGGGTGCCTGGATGCTGCTGCTCTCCAGGCTGCAGTGCCGCCCTGCCACCAGGAGATGGAGGACACGTCCCACAGAACCACACGGAGATGCAGCCAACCTCATCCCTGGAAGGAGAAGGCAAAGGCCAGACCACCCTCTCGCACTTGGGTGATCTGAGAGGGGTTGCAACACAGTATAGGGAAACACAAACGCAGTGAATTTATATTTCACCTCTGGGTTTAAATAACCAGGACTGAACAGCAACTGAAAACACAACAGTTCAGAGTATGTTAAATACTAACGTGCTCTCCAGCTGAAGACCTTCCGAAAACAGATCATCTGGCGTACAGTACGGGAGATGTGGCTGGGAAAGGAGCTTCTACTGCTCCTTCCCCAGGCAGCGCATTCATGGATATGAGCTAGTGGCAAAAATCCAGTCAGTGAATGCAATCTGCCTAAGCAAAAAAGTCCTGAAGATCACTCTGTCTCCATCTTTTAGAGGCACTCCCATTCACCACTTGCTTGGATTATCCACCTATAACCTTGGAGCGACGGAAACTAGCACAATATAAAACCGAGTTTCCAAACATCCTGGGAGCTGCTGCACAATGAATCACATAACTGGGCCCTGGAACTTGGGACTTTCCCCAGCAAGGATGAGAACCAGGGAACAGTTCCACACATATCCATGCCCTGGATAACTGTGGTTGCACTGTGCAGCCTGCTGGAGTGGAGGAAACAGAACCGTTTTGGCTAAAATGGTAGCATTGCCCGCTGCCTGCCCAGCGAACACCTCTAAGGCGCTGCAGGCCAACTATCTAGCAACAAAGAGGAAAGCCATCAGCATTTAGTAAACAAAGCCATTTGGTACCCAGCCAAATCCTGTGGGGAATACTGAGAGAGGCAAGTGACAGGTCTTGACTCAGAAAAACATCAAGGTTAGCTTTAAAGCACGGTGTAAACCCCAAAACTGCAACGGAGCTTCGCGCATGAACGCAACAAGGCCGTATTCACACAAAGCTTGCAGAGGGCCCAGCAGGCATTTCACAAGCATTTCTGCTCACAGAATTCATCCTGGTCTCCTCCTGCCTTTCAGCTGCACTCTGTATTTATTTTTGTGCACGCCTTTTTCCAAAGAAACAGAACAGAAAGGACCTTTACACCCTCAGCGCTGCACTCCCTCATCCCCTGCTGAGCAGATATTCCCAGCCTGCGATCGGAGGGGTCAATAACCACACGAGGTCCCCCGTGCCCGGCCGCAGTGCCCCTCCGAGGCAGGGGAGCCTGAGGCAGGGGATGGACCCCTCTGTGCCCAGTGACTCCATCTGGGCTCTGGCACGACTGGCCAGCCACGAGGCAGCTGCCAAGGCTTCCTGCGACGCAGACAGCTGTCTGCCGTCCTGCCACCAACATCCCTTGG